ATAGAGAAGCTGTGGTATATTCACACAATACTATGCTGCATTGAAAAACAAGGAATTCATGGAATTCATGCAATAGTATTAAAAATGTGTGACCCTGGAGGACACCATACTGAGTGAAATAGCTCAGTCACAAAAGGACAAATAGTGCATAGTGCCACTGTTGTAAAGTGGGTCTGACATAGTAGTTGGGGGGAATCTAAGAGGTGATAAATAATGTATTCTGCATTGAAACAGATGAGAGAGAGAACTGTTTAGGAGTAATATAGGATTTGGTATTATTGTCATGACAGGAGTCCCAAGTGAAAGCTGCTAGTGGAGTGGACTGGGGGCGGGGAGATTGTATAACAAGGAAATGTTTTTTTAAACTTTTCAAAGAGAAGAGTGAACTTGGGGGAGGGGTGGGCTGGAAGAAAAGTATGCAACAATGAATGCATGGAAATCCAAAGTCTCTGTAACTTTCATTAAAATTAAAAAAAGGAAATGAAGTAATTTTTAAAAGAAATTTCAGTTAAAAGTTTACAAATCACACTGGTGTTTTATGCAATCATTCGCAGACATATAACCCTTAGCAACCCTGTGAATACCCCATCTGAACCCTGTCCTGTGCCACTTACATCAGCTCCGACACACCCGAGCCGCTGTAGTCACTATGTCCATGCACACCCGAGGGCCTTCCTCTCTCACTGACCCCTCCACATTTCCAGGTATGAACTCTCTCCAAGAAACAGCCTCTCCTAGCAACATGCTCAAAATTTATGAGCCAGGGAGCTTATCTGTAGGGCAGGGCCAGAGCTGACCTGCAGCTGACCCACCAGCGGGATGTCAGATGGCCCAACCTTGTCCTGTGGAGCAGCTGGTGGCCTCGAACCGAGAGCCTCTGGGACTGCAGCGCAGCTTCTTGCCATCAGAGGTCCCTCTCGTGGCTTAGTGGTAAGAAACTTCGCTGCTAACACAAAGGTCTGTGGTTCAAAGCCACCAGTGGACTCGTGGGAGAGGGATGGGCAGTCTCCCGCGTAATTCTGCCTCCGAGAACCCCCGCGATCTACGCTGGGTGCGTTCTGCTCGGGCAACAACAGTCCTTACCACCGGGTCCAGCACGACTCACAGCGACCCTGTGGACAAAGGCCTGAAGCCCCTCCAACCACGGACAGTTATCAAAGACCACGGAGCCGCGGGAGGAAGTGGATGCCGCTCCTGCGTCCACTTCTGGTGGGTTTTCTAGTTTCCTCCTCTGTCCCTGGACGTGGACCTCAGCGGTCTCTGGTGGCGCAGGGACCACGTTCGGCGGTCGATGTCCACCGGCCACTCCCGGGAGGGAGGGAGACACGGCGACCCGTGGGGCGTGTCCACTCCGTCCTCCGGCGCTGCCGGCCACTGTCCACTCTCAGCTGTGGATCTGCCTTCTCCTTCGAGGAGGAGGGTCTCGCGACTCCGAGGACCCTGCGCCCGACGCAGGCGGGGCTTTCTCGGGCTGGTGGCCCCGGGTCACCCCGCTCCGTCCACACGAGGCCCACTGCTCGCCCCGCCGCGGGGCCCTGCCTCCCCGAAACGGCGTCCCAGGAGGGGCTGGGCGAGCTCACGGGCGAGCGGTCATCACACACCGCCCTTCAGAAGGGCCCCTAACGCCCTCCCCACCCACGTGGGCTTCGTCTGCCTGAGTCGCCCCCGGGGCTGCGCGGGCCGCGGGCACGGGTCCTCCCGCTGGCTCCCCGGATCCCCGCGGCCGAGCCCTGACCCGCGGGGCTTGGGGGCAGCGGGCTTCGGCCCCATCTCAGGCTGGCGTGGCGACCCCCGCTGCGGATGCGGGAAGGCCGGCGGGCGGGCAGTCAGGTCCCGCGGCGAAGGCCCTGCTCCGAGGTCGGGGGTCTCCTCCGCGGGCGGGTGCCCGGCGGCACGAGGCTCCCGCCATGGCGCCCTGCCCCCCTCCCGGCCGGACACCTGCGGGTTCCCCACGCCCGGGAAGGACGCACCTGCGCGCGGGGCGGGCACTCGCTGGGGCGGGGCCGACGACCGGAAGCGGGGCGGCCGTGTCCGCTCTGCGCAGACTCGCCGACCCGGAAGCACTCGTCGAGGCCCCGCCCCGTACGTCAGTACTGCTGCCGGAGCCTGCACGCTTCCTTTCTCTCTCTGCGCTCGACGTGGTGTCTGTCCTCAGGTGGGGCTGCGGGGCTGCGGGGCCTGGAGCGGGAGGTGCGCGCGGCGCGAGATCTGGACGGGAGGGGAGCGGGGCGGGCGCGGGACGGGATGGGCACGGGGCGCGGGGCCTGGACGAGGTCGGGGTTCGGGTCTGGAGCGGGGCGGGCGCCGGGCGGGCGCGGGACGGGATCGGAGCGGGCGCGGACGAGGTCGGGGTTCGGGTCTGGAGCGGGAGGTGCGCGCGGCGCGAGATCTGGACGGGAGGGGAGCGGGCGCGGGGCGCGGACGAGGTCGGGGTTCGGGTCTGGAGCGGGAGGTGCGCGCGGCGCGGGGCCAGGAGCGGGAGGTGCGCGCGGCGCGAGATCTGGACGGGAGGGGCGCGGGACGGACGAGGTCGGGGTTCGGGTCTGGAGCGGGAGGTGCGCGCGGCGCGAGATCTGGACGGGATGGGAGCGGGCGCGGGGCGCGGACGAGGTCGGGGTTCGGGCCCGTCCTCACGGTCCCCGCGTGGCTCCGCAGGCGGCCTCAACATGCAGAACGACGCCGGCGAGTTCGTGGACCTGTACGTGCCGCGGAAATGGTGAGCGCGCCCTTGCCCGGCCCCCCGTCAGCTCCCGGGACCCCTCGTTCCCCGGGGACCCCTGCTCCCGGGCCCCCTCCTCTCGGGCACTCTCGCTCCCCGGGGCGCCCCAGTCAACGTGCTGTCTCCGCAGCTCCGCCAGCAACCGCATCATCGGCGCTAAGGACCACGCGTCCATCCAGATGAACGTGGCCGAGGTGAGCGGGGCGCAGGGCGCAGGGCCTCGGGGTGGAACCACGCAGGCGCCGCCCCGGGGCAGGTCTTGCTGACTGTTCGTTCTGTGTGTAGGTTGACAAGGTTACAGGCAGGTTCAACGGCCAGTTTAAGACCTACGCCATCTGCGGGGCCATCCGGCGCATGGTGAGCGAGCGGGCGGGGGTCCCGAGGGCTGGGCGGGGGTCCTGGAGGAGCCTCCCTGCTCGCGCCCGAGATGGGGGTACAGGGCGGGCCCCCGCGTTGTCCGGTGCTTCTGGCGAGGGCGTCACCAGCTTTCTGTCTCCAGGGTGAGTCCGATGATTCCATTCTCCGACTGGCCAAGTCAGACGGCATCGTGTCCAAGTAAGAGAGCCGGCCACGGGGGGCGGGGGTCACGGCTCCTCCGTCCAGTGTTTGTAACACTGCTTTTTCTTTGTCTTCAGGAACTTCTGATGGCGAGGCCTGGGGGTGCTGTTTGTCATAAATAAAATGTAAAGAGCCGTCTTGTCCACTGTTGGTTTTTGCTCGGGGACTGCCTTGGTCTCTGGGGGCACTGGGGTCACAAGGGCTGAGGGAGGAAGCAGGGCAGTGCACTCTCAAAAAGACAAAATGTAGCAAAACCAAGTTTATTTATCATCTCTGGAAACACTGCCACAAAGCAGGACAGCATCCCAACACCCAGCCGATCATTCCCAGGCCAGCAACCACCGGGCCGGCAGACCTGCAGACCCTTCCGTGGGTCCCACGTCCACATCTGGACTGATTGTCCACACTGACAGTCTTGGTTTTAAGTCTGATGGTTGGTTCAGTCAGTACCACGTGGTGGCAGCTCCACTAATGGAAGAGGTAGGGGGTGCTCGGGAAAACGATGAGCTCACTTCATCAGTACTCTCAACTGGACTGCATGGCCGGCCACTCTGCCATGTTCAGAAATGCCCCAGCGGACACACAAGGCCGAGCTGTGAAATCCTTTACTTACAGTGTAACTAGGCTTTGAGATGATGGGTGGACGTGAATTTTGCAGTGTGGGCCCCACAGTTTACTTTTAGCAGCATCCCAGGTTGTGGAGAAGCATGTGGCAACCTTTGGGGAACATGTGACTTTCAGGAACAGTGCAGAAGGGTGAGGGGCCACAGTCAAGTCCTCCCTCCCTGGTTGGCTGCTAGTCCTAGTTCCAGGGTTGGCCACCACATTTTACCAAGGATTTCTGCCAAACCACAGGTGGGAGAACCAACATCCAAGCAGAAGAACCCTCTATGCAATTGGAATACATGTATTCCTGGGTGTGTGTGGGGGGGTGTCCAGGAGCCCCTTGGAAGATTTGTGACCCCCTCAGCCTGTGATGATACACATCTTGGAGCCGTAGCACTGCCCATCGCCACCTGTACACAGATGAGCTGCAGCTGCTGAGCTTGGTCGCCACAGCCAGACCAACACCTGGGCTTTTCTCAGTGGTCCCAGCCTGAGGGTGTCATCTGAGGGGCAGCAGGGAGCCCACTCCCCACTTAAGGATCAAGTATCAGTGTTGAAGTCAGAACTCATCCCAAATGATGTAATGCGCTTTCCTTAGTCACAGTTGATCAGGACAATGAAGGGCGAGCAGGGGTGTGGCTGGTTGGCCTTAAGGTCTGCAGTGGAGGGAGACTTGCCAAAGGTACAGCCTGTGTCTGCTCAGGTCCTGGGGCACAAGCCAGGGGGAGGGTCTCACAGTGACGATATAGGGAGGAGAGAAAGGTCAGTGTTGGAGTTACCTGATGCCAGGTGATCGACATGTGGGTGCTCGAGTGTGTGGAAGGATAGAGGGAAAGCCCCAGAATCCACCCACAATGTCCTGGGTTACTTCCCAAACAGTCTTGAGTGGCTGCAGCATGTTTGAGAAGGCCTGGAGAGCCAAGATGCCACTGCAGCCCTGACAGGCAGGGAGGAGGCCGGCAGAACCCTGCACAACGGCCCTGGGTCCTGGCTCAGCCCCAGATCAGGCTTGTGGGAGATGAACTAACCTGTACCTACACTTAGTTCAGGAACGTTCCGAGTGGCTGCTCTGTAGGGAGCAGGTGCCAGCCTGGTGAGCTGGGGGCCAGCCCTTCAGCTAGGACTGCTGGGTGAGGCGTCTGTAGTGAGGTAAAACCTGGCCCTCGGGCAGGTACAGGGCAAGTTCCAGCGCCACCAGCACAGTGAACTCAAAGCCAATCAGGTCCCGGCGGTTGAACCGGAACCTTTCTTCTAGTTTCTGCAGGGAGAAGACAGCTCGCATGAAGTGGGTCTGTCACCACCTGGCATGCCACCACCTGGGGAGCTTCATGTCCTTGGAGGTGGTAGCCATGCAGCACAGTGGGTGGTGTGGGTGGTGGGCATGAGGCTGAGGGAGCTGTGTGGGACATGGGCTGGGGTCCACTCACATCGATGAGCTGCTTGACCTCGCTCTTGCGCAGGTCACTGCTGATCTTGGCGGCCAGCAGCACGCAGGCTCCGGCACACAGCTTGCGGTTCTGCTTGTTGAGCTTGCCCTGCAGCACGAGCTTCTCGAAATACACGTAGGCCATGGACACGGTCACGGGCTCCAGGCTGCACTCCTCTGAGAGGCTGCACATCTCCCGCTTGAGGCTGCAGGTCCATGGGGTCTGATTGGCTGCCTTCCCTCCCCCAAGTCCCCCAGGTCAATCCCCTCCTCCCCCCCTCAGGTCCATCCCCTCCTCCT